TATAATGAATGGATGCATAGGGAAACGTAGATCGGCGACCAGTGCGTCCAGATGCACCAGCACATGACTCGGTCGGTGCCTCATCGGATGGCGAATGAAGCCAACGTAAAACTGCCTACGGGGCGGTAGGAATTCGCAGATCTGCCGAGCGGCCCCTACAGGAAGGCGCTGGTGTTGTTTCCGAATACAGCGGAAATTCAAAGAATACCACGGGGGCTGTTCAGGAATCCCACGTTCATACATAACGAGATCATCCCTCGAGAGGCATCCATCATCAGGGAGTTGCTGATCGGCGTTCGGGGGTATGAGGAATCAGACGGAGAGTCTGAAACCTGGGCAGAAGAATTGTCCGCCTGACCGCTCAGGCCTGCTTTCCCTTTGAACGACGGATAAAAACCATCTCCTCTTTCTCCGAGGAAATGGACGAACTAGACATAAAAGGGAGAAAAAAGGAGAAAAATACATTTGGAAGATTGGGGCGTAAGAGATTTTCTATAGAGAAAATTCATAGTGGATTCAATATTCAAAGAAGTAACAGAAAAATGAGGAAACACCAACTCTCATATATATAGGAGCAACCGTCCTGAAAACAAACCCATGGGGGACACATGGCGGATGGTAGATGGAAAGCATTTAAGTCCTAAGGTCTCAGAGGTTCATAACCAGTGGACAAACATGCGCAATGATAATGGAATCAAAGTGGATGAATAAAGAACAACAAGTGGAGAAAAGTGAATTCCGTACAGCGGTTCTGGTCAGGAGCTCTTGATTAGAACGGGACTCGATGTATAAGTTACAACTTTTTTATTTTACTTATTTAATACACCTCACTTTTACCGTAAGTCTAGTATAGTCACTTTTTGCCTAATTCAATTTAAATTTATGGATCCAGTGTACAAGTCTAGTATAGTCACTTATTGCAATTTTTAAAGAACAGAGGAGGAAGTATGTTACTAGATAGGATAAAGTGTGTACTCGTATATAGCACATGCAAGGAAAATATAGTGCCAATAATCTAATGAGCTAATTAAGGCTGGAAGGTTAGAATTGTTTGACATGACTCTAGATTTGTAGTTAATTTTTTTATGGCCAAATCACAGAATAGAAGTCCTCGAATTTAATTGCAAAGCAAACAGTAAAGCATGTGGTAGGAGGATGTTACTCGTTATTTAAGATGTATTTGTAAGGAAACAATAACATGTTTAGAAAGCTTCAACCGTCCAGCCATATTAAGTTAAGTTATTTAAAACTAACTCATGAATTATGAATTTATATAAGCTATTTAGATCTCATTATGAAACAATAAAATTGATTAAATCAGTACATTATCCTCTCTCGTTTCTTTTATCATTTATCTTCCTTATCTTTTTATATTCTTATGTTATTTTTATCTTCTAGCTTTTTATGCTCTTTTATTTATTCTTCTTTTATCTTGGTTATATTCTTGTGTTATTGTTATCTTATATTTATGTATCTTTGTTTTATTCATTTTATCTTACTTTTTTTGCCTTTTCTTGTCCGCCTTCTCTTTTTGGCATCGATATCATAGATCGATTCATGTTAGCCGACCCCAAATTGTTTTGGGATTAAGACTTGGATGTTGTTGTTGTTGTTGTAGTACATTATACTGAATTGTGAATTTATAAATATGTTCTATTAATAAGATAGAGAAAAAATTAATTGATAAAGATCAAGTAGTTTGACTAGAAAAGTAAATTCAACAACTTTACTTATTTTGATTACTATACGGAATACAATTCATTGTACGAAATAAAAAGTTGAGTGTGATAAAAGTTGATTTATCAAGATAATAAGTTAAAAATCTAATTTACCGAGCTCGCTTTAAATTTAACAAGTGTGTTGGGCAATTGAACATTAATCATTGGTATACAATGAAACAAAAATCAACATTTGGGTCATTCAATAGGATCATAAAGCATATATGTCACTAGGGATGGACTCGGCCGGGCCGAACCGGCCCGGTACTGTTTGGGCCCGGACCGGACCGGGACCGGTTGGCCGGTTCCGGGCTTTTAGCCCGTTTGGGCGGGTCAGGTTCGGGCCCAGTTTTGGGCGAACCGGCCCGGGCGGTACGGGCTGGGCCCGGGTCTTTTTTTTCAATTTTTTTCTTTTCCTAGGCTAGGGCTGGGTGTTTTGGTGAGGTTTGGGGGGTGGGGTGAGGGGGGGTCGGGGAATAACAAGAAAGAAAAAAAATAGACATCGAACCGGGCCTGGACCCGGTATCAACCTGGGCCGGTTCCGGGCCCATGAATTTGCAAAAAAAGCCCGCCCGGGCCCGGCCCGGAACCGGAACCGGACCAGCCCGGGTGCATCCCTATATGTCACTTTAGCTTGTATATGAATAGTTGCACTCATTCTCAATTATATATATAATTTTCCATAATTTATCTTGCAAATATAAATACGGAGTATATTTGTGGAATTAGGATCTAATAATGAGAAGAATACTTATTGTAAAAAAGAGAATGCATCTAGTGCAATAAATTTAAGATCTAATGACTTGTGAGTATAAAAAAGCTAAAAATGATGAATGATGTGGTGGCAAATTCATAAATAATTGGAACTTTTATGTGATCGCATAAAAGTGCATAAAAATAAGTAAAAGTGAAATTTTCTCATTTTTCACGTTGAGATGCCTTCTTATTATAGTTGAACCCTTTATGGAATCATACCATACATATCATATCAATAATTATATGTTATTCAAATTCAAATTATTTTATCTCAAAATGGTGTGAGATGGGTCTTCTTGACCTTTTCCAAAAGATTGCATGTTAATTACTACGGTGTGCCCAACCGAAGAACATTCACATTTTTGTCTGACCAACCCAATTGTTCTTACTCGATAAAATGACATTAATATTTGGGACATGTAGGCACTCCACCCAAGGTCATGCCTACTTTAAGGCCAGTGAGGCCATTGACTCGGGGCCCTAAAATGCTAAAAAAATTGGGGCCCAAAATTTGTAGGTATAGATTTACTCCATATGTGTTTATTACCCTAAATAAAAAAATTCTCACTTTCATATCTAGTTGTTTTTCTTAATTAAATTAAAAGGAATTATCTACATCTCTCAATCATATTATGTCAATTTTGGGAATTAGTAATTGTAGTAACATTATTTTTCATTGATTTGTTGTCGAATGTTTGTTAGTTTTAAGAAAGAATGGCACAAATATGACTTCACCTTTTCATTGGACAAAAATATTATCAAAATTCCTTTTTCCAAAAAAGTCACCGATTAACCCCAATCCACTTTCGCTTTTCTTCTTCGCTCGTCCGCCAAGTAACTCCCAGGAGGGAATTTTCTTTCCATTCGTGGACACTAGACAGATCCCTAGGAGCGGATGGTGCCAAGAGCAGACCACCATCTCCCCACTCCCTCCGCGGACAGAACCGCCACCATCGCCCTCCGCGAACAGAGCCGCCGCCATCACCATCCGTGGACATAGCGGAAACCATCGCCCTCGCCGTCCTTGCCGTCCTCACCGCCTCCTCTATCTACACACTTTTTTAGAGTCATGTCTTGCCTTATCTTCCAGATCTGTGACGACATCGTTGCTAAATTCATAGGCAGTGCGGCGCTCCGGCAGCAAGGAGCAACATCAGTGGTGGTCCAGAACTCCAGATCCAGATGAAAACGGCTAGGGTTGAGGGTATTGCAATGGCTTGGGAGGGATTTGGGCCAGGGGAAGGTAGGGAGGGACTGGGGAAGGGGGCTAAGGGGCTGGGGAGCTGAGGGGGTTTGAGGGATGAGGAGGGTAGGGTTGGAGCTGTCGACAACGGCAGTAATGGACCAGATGGCGGCGGCGACCAGAATGTTGCGGTGGTGGCCGGAGTTGGTGCAGCGGTGGCGGTATGTGGTGGGGATGTATCGGTGTTTCATTGTTGTCACTGTTAGCCCGACATGGTTGGAGTTTGGAGGGTGGCGGTCGCGGTATCGACGGTGGCGTGACGTCAGTTCCGGAGCATAACTATGGAGGTTGTATAACATTTTGACCAGAAAAGGGTGTGAAAAAATTTTCCGACAGTTTTTCAGCCGCACAGTGACACGTCTACAACGTTATAGTGACATTCGAAAGTGACATGATAACCAGCAGTGACATTTAAAAGTGACATAAAAAACTGGTAATAACATATGACAGTGACAAAAAAACTGATAGTGACATAAATTTATTACAGTGACGTCATGTTCCAAAAATATGACTTTCTTAGTCACATTTTTATCCTTTTAAAAAATGTCATTTTTTTGGAAATTGGTATTAATTTAGTAATATTCTAGGAAAAAGCCCTAGTTTTAATGGAAAGTTGCATTAGAATACAAGTTATGTCACTTATGTGTAATTATGTATGCATTTAATTTACTATATTGATATTTTTCAAATTTTATCTAATTGTTTTTCATACTTTTATGCACATGTAGTATCATGCACGTGCCTCAAGAGGTAAAAAGATTCAACATTTATATTTTAATCTTAAAATGAAGTACATTGTCTATTGAAACTAATTATTGAACACCATTAATATGTACTACATATAATTTTATTATAACATATGTATGCTGCTAAAAGTGTAAAAAACTTATTATTAATCAGTATAATTATTCTCATGTTAATTTAGGAGTGAAAATTTTAATTATTGTGTTTGTAAATTTTATGTATATATATTCTTCGATTTTTTCTCAATATTCCAATACTTCAAATGAAATCTTATTATATGAATTTTAAGAGACCCTTAAAAGTTTTCAACTCAAGCCTAAACTTGCTAGGATCGGCCCCAGACTCCACCTAAAGTCTTGGCAATGCGTGAACTTGAATTTCTAATTCTTTTGAGCCACAATAATTAAAATTTTCACTTAAAGTGAAGGTCACTTTTTTAATCAAAGAATCTGTAACTATGATCTATTACTTTTTTAAAAATTATACTCCGTATTAATTTATACAAACGTCAAATTACTCTTAAACAGCATGATATAACAGATAATTTGTATTCTTTGACAAAATATTTCAATTTATCTTGAAGATTGAAGTGTGTAAATGTAACACGAGTACACTACAAAGCTAGAGTTGTCAAACAATGTTACCCACCAAAAAAACAAAACGAATAGATAAAACTCAGTCACAGCCAAAAGTTTCACACCGAATAGGGACATGGACCTACAGAGTAGAGATTGTGTCCTACACTTTAATGGCACATTTCCGTAGTAGGACGTAAATCTCCTTCTCTCTCTGTCTTCAGAGGCCTTTTATAAATGAAACAAAGAAAGTATGTCAAACATTGAATTGCATATATTTGTGCCTTATTAAAGACATAGTTTAGACTTTTACCAAAAAAAGAGACATAGTTTAGAGTTTAGACAGATAGTCACATGTATAAATAAAATATTATACACTTAACACTAAATGGGAAAAGAGGGAAAATATAATTCAAACTTCAAAGTGAAATACATAAAATAATACCTCCACATAGATAACACACTATCCAAACAAATATATTAGAATTGCAGAAACAATATCAAAATGATGACAATGCAGAAGAAAGTGAGAGAATGGCAACTCCGATTCCATTGTAAAAATGGGGAATAACTTCACATCCTATCACAAGTCAAAGGAAATCGTGGGGGGGGGGGGGGAGGAGGAGGTTGATACCCAGCTTTTCAGGGCTTAACAGAAATACAGTTTTTTATCACCAGAACACAAAAGGAGGGGATTCCCCTACTTCCAGAACACAGGTCTAGTTTTTTATGTACTAGACTAAAAATGACTCCATCAACAACCCTTATAATTCATGAGTACGAAGGTGCTTAAGTATTAAGGAATAAAAACCTGGAGCTTAAGTATTAAGGAATAAAAACCTTTGGTAAGACGTTTGCGGATGGCTTTAGTCTTCTTGGAGCAGAGATCAAGAAGCAAATACTTGTATGCTTCCCTTAGAACACTCTTTTCTGTGTCTGAGATCATAGTCAACATTTGTGCAATTGACGCTCTTACTACCTTGCTGCATCCAGTTGGAGTCAATTTAAGCTCATTTGAATAGTTACATTTGAAGTAGAACACCCAAACACTGCGTAGCAGTTTATTTGATGCAATCAGCGTGCAATATTTTTTCCAAACCCTAGTTTAACAGAACAAGTGTACTGGAAAAAGAAATGGAGATACTGTTTATAAGTGAAATGTTTGAAGTTGCTAAAAACCAGTTTAACCCTTTTTTTGTACATTTTCTTTGTTTTATCAGTAAATTATACTCCATATCTCATGTATTTCTTCTTAAATTAGCAAACTACAATGACAAGTTCAATATCTTCATCCATATAACAAACACAACCCCCCTTCACTTTCAAGCAATAGTGAACACACTGCGATACTATTTCCAACAAATATCAGAAACTTCAATATAATAAATCATTCATTTCATCATTTTCATTTACCCCAGTGCCGAAAAGGCTCCCACCTACGGTGGGGTAAGGGGGGTCGGATGTACGCAGTCTTACCCCTGTACTAAAGCACAGAGAGACTGTTTCCGGATGACCCATAGTGAAAATCCCGTCCAAAATTGCATGGACTGACTGCTGCTTCATAACAAAGAAGCGCAGACAGTTTAGTGAGTCATTTTGCTTTATTCCATCATAATCCCAAGCCAAAAAATAATGAATCTTTGTCTCAATTGCAAATGATGTAAGCTTCAATATAATAAATATAAAAAAAAATAGATAAGTAGATAAGTAGATAAGCAAGCAAGCAAACATAACAGAACCGAACAAAACAAACAAACAAACAAATAAATATATACATCTTTCATGAAGTTAAATAAATCATCAAGTGACCAAACATACAAAGCGCTAATTTAATCCCCTTCCATTCATACAATCAACAAACTTATCTTGAGAAATTGGACATGCAATTTAATGAGTTTGGATGAGAATATTGATAAGACATGTGAATATAGAGATTGAATAGGAAATGAATTTTGGAGATATTTTTAGGGGTCCCTCAAGTAACCTTAGCGCCACGGAGGAGGGCGAGCTCCATATTGAGATCTTTCAACTGAGCAAGCAGCTCTGTTTTGCTTTTATTCCTCAGCTCATTGACCTTGGTTCTCGCTGCAATTTTCATTTTACAAAGTTTATAAAGAAATACGTTATATAACTAAATGTATGCATATTTTATAATCTATGACTAACAAAGAAAGATAAATTCATGAAATGAAAATCAATTATTCCCACCTTCCGAAAATCTCCAACCAAACAAGTCGTAGAAGAGTAGATCCTTCCTTCAAGCACCAAGTAAGCAACAGATATTTAACAAGTTAATACTAATTGAACCAATGAGCACCATGCCCAACTAATAAACTTTGAGAATGCTGAGTGAAGACAAATAATATTTGATTGAATATTATTTACCTTGATGAAGACGTAGGCTTATCTGTAACCCATTGGTCCCTCTTCCACAGTGTGAGAATGTTTTGAGTTGTCTCTTGAAAAGACCCATGTCTATGAGTGCACTGAAGCTCTCTACTTGATAAAATCATTAAGCTTTCTTGACTGTAAAAACCCACAATGTAATATCAACTCTAAAGACCCTCCAACCTAAGCTCCAAATCCAGTTCCTCATCAGCATATTCACCCTTCATCAACTTGCTCAGCATCCTAACCTCCTCACGGATTGCGGAAATCTCTGGATGCAACTGATCGGCAACAACAAAAACATGAAATCGAGTCTTCAATTCAATCCAACTACACCCTGGCTCCTTGTTCACACCACGTACACTCATCAAACGCCTAACCCTCTCGACATCCTTTCCCCTGCCAAGAGCTGAATAAATACTCGACAGCAAAATGTAAGCGGATGACTCCAATGACCCTAACTCCATCAACTTTTCCCCGGCGTACACTCCCAACTCGTAGTTTCTATAATTCCGACATGCACTAAGTAATATACGCCACAAACACTGACCGTGGTCAATTGTAGAAGACAATATAAACTCTTTAGCCTCATTTAATTTCCCGGCGCGACCGAGGATGTCAACCATGCAAGCATAGTGCTCCACTCTAGGTTCAATACCAAACTCATCTGGCATCATTCGAAAGTAATACCGTCCCTTCTCTACGCAGCCCATATGGCTACAAGCTGACAAGACGCTCACAAAAGTGACATGATCTGGCTTTTCAACAACCGTTTTACGCATCTCCTCAAACAGTTCAAGTGCTTCTACCCCGTGCCCGTTTTGGGAAAGGCCAGAAATCATGGAGTTCCAAGAAGCAACATCTCTGTCTGGCATCATCTTGAAGACTAGGTTCCCGTCTTTAAGGGTCCCACACTTTGTGTACATAGTTGCAAGGGCACTACCAACAGGAACAGTGAGAGTAAGCCCATATTTAATGGTATGTGTGTGTAACTGTTTTCCTTGCTCTAAAGAAGCTAGGGTCGAACAAGCTCTTAACACACTTGACATTGTTAATTCGTTTGGTAATATATCCTTCTTTGTCATCTGCCAATACATATTAATAGCACTCTCATTATCCCCATTTTGGACGAACCCTGCAATCATTGAAGTCATTAAAACAATGTCTGGCTCCCCTAGAGAATCGAAGCCATTCTTAGCATCACCGATCATCCCACACTTAGCATACATGTCAACTAATGCAGTCATAATATATATCTGAGACTGAAATCCTAGTTTCCAAAGGTATCCATGGATCTGTCTTCCTTCAACGGCTGCCTCAATGTCACTACATGCATTAAGGACTCCCACAAGAGTGTACTCAGTAGGAGTCACCCCACAGAAATGCATTTCTGAAAACAGCTCCAGCGCTCTCTCGTCGTATCCATTCTGTGCACAACCAGTGACCATGGCAGACCAGGTGATAGGTTCTTTGATATTTGAGGATTTGAATGCTTCATATGCATCATCCAAGCTGCAACACTTTGCATACATAGTCACTAAAGCATTGGCAACGGAGACAATAGATATCAATCCGCTTTTTACTGAAATAGAATGGATTAGCTTGCCAGCAACAACAAACTCAGGAAATGTGAAAGAGCTAAGGACACTAGTCAAGGCGAACTCATTGATGTCCTCCTCAGATATCAACATCATCATAAAAATACCCAAAGCTTCACCAGGGAGCCTTAGAGAAGCATACCCTGATATCATTGTGGCCCAAGACACAGAATTTTTTTCAGGCATTTCGCCAAACATCTTATGAGCATCACCAATCTCCCCAGACTTACAGTACATGTTAATCACTGAGCTACCCACAACCACATCATCCAAGACTCTCAGCTTTACCGCCAAGCAATGGGCTTGTTTACCAACAAATGTGTTCCCTAAATATGACGCAGAAGAGAAAATGCCGGAAAAGGTATGGGAATTCGGAACAGCGTTTTGGTTCCTCATTTGCTTGAACAAGTTCAGCACGGAAATAGATGAGCCTTGGCTACCCAGTCGAGAGTAGCCATTGATGAGGCAGTTCCATGAGACAATATCTTTGTTACTAATGTCATTGAATGCTAGATGGCCATCTCGCAGTATACTGCACTTAGCGTAGAAGTTAACAACGCTGTTGGAGAGATAGATGCAGGAGATTGAGCCGCTTTTGATGAGATGTCCATGAAGACATCTACCTTTGGGAAGATTCTTCTCATGGGTGTAGTTAAGGATGGTTTTGAAAAGATGTTTATGTCTTGGTGTAAAGGATACAGCATGATTCATAAATAAACTGAAAGATTGCTGTTATAAGGGAAATAGTGGAGTCAGAGTTTATGAGTTTGCCGACCAACTTTAGAGTTTTGGCTTCCGAACCACTGCCCTCCAAATCCCAAAAGTATTGGACTCTGAATGCGCCCTTCAACAAAAAATCGACTGTTACAAATTGTATTTGCAAGTTATTTTCATCTAAAATTTCTACCGAAGTAGAAATTATAATTATTAAGTTTTGGTGAACATATTAATAATTTTAAAAACTCTGATTCTCCTTTTGAGATTGATATGTTTGTATCCAATGGAAACTTCACCAGAAATCTAATGGAGTTGCATCTGACTCCAAGATGGAGTGACACAACTGGGGTGGCTAGGTGATGTGGTAAAATTGAGACCCATCTTATAAAAACATTGGATAAATATTTTAAATTTACAATTCGATACATTTTCTCTGATTCAAAATTTACCAGCTCAATATATTTCCTCGTAAAATATATAAACTGAAAAAAAAGGTTTCAATCATACAAAACTAAAAAGTACATTAAATTTGTGGTTGTAGAACGTAAGTTTTAATTTCTATAGATGCTTAGGTTCCCCATTGACATGGAAGTTAATTTGTAGATGGGGAAATCATTCTTTATAATTAGCCACTTCTTTATGCAATATTTTCTTGGTCCTTGTGTATACGAAATATTTAAATGTGACGATTCTAGAACTGAAAAACAAATGTCAAAAAACTTAATAACAAAAAAATGATGGAGCCATGCATGCTGAATTCTCCTTATTCTTAATCTCCTGTACATTAATTATTACATGAGTAAACTCCAAGGAAGAGGATAAATTAAAGAAGCTTTCCATGTCAGTCATAAACAAAGAATTTATATTCTGATCCCAGTTTTGATAATCTGTTGGGCCTGATGAACCAGACCAGATAAGAAAGAAATAATTGCATTAGTCAAATTACAAGATGATTACCCCTCCACAGAGTTTAATAATATGAGCCTATTTTCAACAATTTGGAGGGGGGAAATCATGACAATATACAACTCTTAATCAAGACCAGTTTGTGCAATGCATACAGTGCACACTAATGCAGGGCCGTCCTAGGGCATGGCTGCCCAGCCCAACCGCAAAGGGGAACATGATTGGGCACATAAGAGAAATATAGTTGTAGTAAACAAAAAATGACATTACACTAAGTTAGATTGCCATTTTTCATACTACGTATTAAGCAATATCTTTAATTATAAGCATTCAAGGATGTGATTTGGGATGCTAATATGTCATCGGGGACCATAGGTACTGCATGATAATTCAAAATTTGAATGCTTTACTTAACATAAGAAATATACAGAGTTTAATTTGTGGATGCCTACTGATGATGATTTTAATTGTTTTTAGTTTAAATTAAAAAAAAATACTTGAAGAGAATCAGGCCGAACGCCATGATGATGATACTAAACTGTTTAATTCGACTAGAAATAGCGGAAAGATCCAAATCAGCCACAAATAAGATTGACAACATAACCACACGGAAGAGAATACTACTAAAATCTACCACACGGACCACACCTAACCACCTCTCTAATGATATCATGACTCAGGCTACCTAAAGCTTTGCTTTTGATTCATTTGTATTGAACATGAAACGAATAACTTGAGGTCAAAACCTGCTTTTGATTTATATAAAAACATAGGTCAATAGTTGGTTGAATATCTCTGGCTTCAAGTATTTGATAAAATAAAAATGATGGAATTGTGTAGATCCTACACTTTTTGTTCTTTAGTTTTCAGACGTTTGCAAAGGTTTTCCTAGTCTCCAAATTTCCTGTCCTGCAAGTTCATAAGCTTCATAACCCAAGTGGGAGGGTGTTGATTCTATCAACTGAATGTTAAAAAGTCAAATTCAGAGAAAAGAAATCACAGTTGGTAAAACAAACAAGGTGCATCCCATCGGACAAATAACTTGCAGTAAGTTTTATAACTATGAAACCTATAAAGGAAAGTGGGAAGCTTCTGACATTTTCTCTAACTATGGACGACAAGATTCACTCGACCATAACATATTTTTAGCAAATGCTATCATCATCATCAGGGGCGGATCTAGCTCTTGAATTGGGTGTGGGCCAAAAAAATAATATATTAAGATAAATAAAATAACTTCAATTGCAACAACAACAACAACAACATCCAAGCCTTAGTCCCAAAAGATATTGGGGTCGGCTAACATGAATCGATACATGATATCACAACCAAAAGGAAAAATAACTTCAATTGCAAAAAGGTAAAATACAAAAAGAAAATTTACATATATCTTACGTACATCCGACCTCCCCTTACCCCACCGTAGGTGGGAGCCTTTTCGGCACTGGGGTAAATGAGAATGAAAATGAATGATCTTACAAGAATAGAAGTTTTTATCAAAGTCAAATAAAAAAACATGACAAATTCAACTCAATAACAATCCAGCACATCACATGATAAATCAGATAAGATAAAAAAAGTTCCTCACAAGTAACTATCATATTAAAACAATGGGGTTAATACAACCAATAAATTGTAAGCATATACAAGTGTGATTGACGATGTCTAATTGTTTCATACCAATTTACCAACCACATTGTTGTGATAATGAGATATGGTATATTCCAATCATTCATGTTCAGAAATTCTTTAGAAACATCTACCGTTATCCAATTTCTTGGTGAAGTAGAAGAAATTTGAAAATATGCTTAGCAAACAAAAATGATACTAATCACACCTGTTAACAACAAGAAGACTTTCAATGGTATGCATAAAACGTTGCCAACAGAGTTGTATATTAATAAAAACACATTGATATATTAATTCACCGTCTTTCCAATACAAGTTGAAAACAGTGCACTGCTAAGGAATTTACTATTTATAACAATATTTCAGTAACTAACTTTGCACATCAAAGAGAAACTTAAACTTTTGGTCTAAGCTCTAACCCAATCGTTGTTAACACATTAACCTAAACCAGATTTTATGATGAAAAGCTGAACCGGTGTTTTTAAAACAAGACAGAAATTAAAAATTGAAATTAAATTCAAGATTATAAAATGAAGACATGAGATTGAATAGAAAATTAAAAAACAGGACTAAGACCTGAAGTCGTAATGATTGAATGAAGAGGGACGGACATAATTTTTTACATTCTTTTACACTAATTGAAATTTCAGAAAACTACAATTTATTAATTGATAATTGAATCCGAAAATTTTATGAAACACATCATAAAAATTCAATAATAGAATCTGAAATCTTTTCTATTTTGAACACAATCTGGAATTCAATTTTTAATTTAGTTTACCTGGCTGAGTAGTGAGTTAGATAGCTCGGTGTTCTTTTCCAGCGTGCAAGTGCAGAGACGGCCGGACGGACGGGCGGCTACGGCTGAGGGGTTTAATAGAGCAGTTTTATTATGATTATTACTATTATTATTATTATGGTTAAGCTTTGTAATATTAGAAGGATCGTTAAAGTTAATTATTTTTTAGTTGAGATGACACAAGTGCACTAGTGGCACTCACTCGCTATGGATGGACCTACGCCCACCGATCAGACTAAAAAATAATAAAAACCTTCAATCCTATCCAGGTTTCACTGTGTTTTTCAGTTCTTTCAACAAATTAACGTCATTCATGATTACGAATTAATGTTTGAGAGTTTGTTTTTGAAGAGAATATGATGATTGACAAGGTTTAATGTCACTCCTTTTCAAACATGGAGTGAAGTTTGAAAGTTTAAAAATATGGAGGAGATAGTTTTGGAGGGCTTATGTAATCCTCCAAAGCCTCCAAATGCTCAATTTTTAAGTTCTCCTATATTTGGGAGGTTTTGAAGGATTACTAATTAAGTTACAACTTTAACTCAATTTTAAATAAAAATAAATTCAACTATTTAAATTTTTCATATATGTGAAGTGGTTTTAATTATAACTCATCCATAAATTACTAATTTTTCATATATGTTACTCCAAAGAAGGAGAGTTTTCTACCCTTCCCCCCCAATGATTAACCTTCAAAACATTCCCCTCCTCTCCCCTCCCCTTCAAACTCCCAAACATACCCTAAATAGGACAAAAAAGTGATCAAAGTGCATAGATAAGATTACATCTTTTTAATTCCCCGTAGTATGACTGTTTATGTCATAATAATATGCAAACATTTTTAGTAATAATGTCATGATAATGGCAGATTCAATGAGAATTTTGGCATCATGATGAGTAATAATGTCATTTTCTTAGCATTTTCACAAATAATGGTGTTTTTTACAAAAATGGCAGAATTTTAACCGATTGGGGGTGGTGGTGCGAAAAGTATCCATATTTTTTATGGGGTTTTTACTATTTTTTATTATTATTTTTTAAAATTCAAAAAAGATATCCCAACATTTTTAGTAATGCCATAATAATGGCAGATTCAATGAGAAATTTGGCATTATGAAGAGTAACAATGCCATTTTCTTAGCATTTTCGGGAAAAAATTGATTTTTAAATAAAAATAGCAGAATTTTTACCGATCGAAGGTGGTGGTGTTGGGAGGTGTTGGGAAAGGTATCCATATTTTTATAGTTTTTTTCATTAACTTTTTAAATAAAAAATAAAAAAAATATTATTTTGAATATATTTTATTTTTTTGTTATTTTTTAATTTTTTTATGATTTTTTATTACTTTTTAAAATTTTATTATGAATTAAAACATATCATTATATGGTAGAACTCAATCTTTAGTCCTATTTGAAAGGGTTTAAAATGTAGTGTCCTTATTTGTGCATTTAATGAAATTTTTAGTCCTACATAGAGCAATTTCTATTAATGTTTATAGCCGCCTGACTTTTGAAAATGATATGAAACGGAATACATTTATATTATAGGTAAAGGAAACACATCGATATTCCATGCATATCGTGCTAATACCTTAATGGCCGGGAATGAGTACATTTTTAACACCTTGATGATTAAGTGATGAAAGTCGCCGTTCTCATTAAATCATTGAGTCAAAAATAAACAACCCCTAATCAATTATAAGGATAGTCACCTATTGGTATAAGGTCTCTTATTTTCTATTAACAATTTTTCAAAAAGTTAAATAATTACATTTTAATAAATAACAACAAAAATAAAAGACTGAATGAGTAATACAGAGTAAGTCTTTTGTTTCTTAAGTGTATTTAAACATTTATTAGAAAATTACTATTACCCCTTGAGAATTATGTCATAAATACTAATAGAACCTTGTATTTTCAAAAAATTACCCTATGAGTTTTAATTATTCTCCCTATTTGCCCTCTCATGTTAATACTTTTTACGTGGTATATTTCATATAACTCTCAAATTCCATAAAAATGGCTACGATATCTATTTTAACAATATATTAACTTTAATAAGATTAGTGTTAGCTCGAGAGGCAAGCACCGAGAACAATCAATATTTAAAGGGCAAATAATTTATTTTTAAAAATGTAAGCGCAGATTAACGATTTTGACCTAGACTCACACTCCGTAGTAAATATTCCAACATTCATCTAGTCAAAGTGTGACAAAAAATAGCATTTGTCCCTTGGCTGTCGTCTTCCTTTAATCTTTGACAATTATGCTACACAGTACGGAGTACTATAAAATCTACGCCTTCTCGGTTCTCTTCCCTAACACTTTCAGCTCTCCTCACACAAATGAACCCGGCTTTCGACTTTCTCCGTCACTTCCTCCGCCCTGTGATGCTCCTGCTCCTCCTCTCATGGTCAGGAGTAGCCCTATCCCCGGTGACATGCCCCAACTGCGGCAGCACTCCAGTGCCTCTCCCACTCAGCACCGCCGCCAACTGCGGCGATCAACTCTACAAGATTCGTTGTAAGAATAGCGAGCTCTTTTTCGATACGCTCAATAACACCTACAGGATCTCCTCCATCACACCAAAATCCCAACGGCTAACGATCGAGCCCGCACCTTTCTTGCCCAACAGCACCAACACCTCGTCACCGGGAACCACCTGCGTGACGGAGGATATCTCAACCGTCGGAATCCAACTCAATTCCTCCCTCCCCTTCAATATTACTAGCAGCAACACCGTTTTGTTGCTCAATTGTACGGACCGCCTGTTCCACTCCCCGCTGGATTGCTCCAACAGCAGCGGTCTCTGCCACACTTACATCGATGCAAGCCGTGACTCTGGCAGCCCTGCCGGCGCGTGTGCAGGCGCCCCTATCTGCTGTAACTTTAGAACCGGCGGGTCAACAACAGCGTACAGGATCCGGATTAGGGAAGCGGGTTGTAGTGCGTACCGGGTTTTTGTGAACTTGAATGAGTCTTTGCCTGTCCGGCAGTGGCCCAACCCCGCCCTGGAATTGGAATGGAAGTTGCTGGCGGATCAAGGCCGGTGAATCTCCCAGTTGAGATCACTATTTTCTGGGGCGCGAGGGTCCGTAGGATTATTAGACAAAGATCTGTCGGACCCAACTCCTAATTAAAATGGATCTTATAAGTGAAATTAAGAAATATTTAAATAAAAACCATATTGTAATTCAGTTAAGGAGTACTCTAATATATTTGGCCGGGAAAAGTAATTTAAATACTCCAAACTTTGAATGATCTAAGCATCTCAAACTTTCATATGTAATATTTATATCCAGAAATTTATATGAAAAGTAATATTAGTACCATGAACATATGTTTTTTTCTTTCACGATATAAATTTATCCCGAAATTTATATGAAAAGTAATATTAGTGATGGATAAGTGTACCCGGAGGTATCTATCCGAGGGGTTACTGCGGGGAGTAACTAGAGAGAAGTCAGAGTAACAAGTAAGAGAGAGAATATATATTGCTGCGAATGCGTTGAGTGTATTGAGCCTTTTTTACAAATGGAGAAAGGAGTGCTATTTATAGTAGTAATAAATGCCAGATAGGGACACGTGTCATCATTCTGGTGGTCGAGGGGTCACCTCAGCGAGGTGACACTGACACTGGCATGTGGCCGCATTAAATGCGGTGGTTGGATGTGACGTTTGTACTTGGTACGTTGATCCGGCGCATGTGGGCGGGAGATTCTGTCGAGGAGATGCCCTCGACCGTAGATTTTGGCCGAAGGCTCTTCATACCGGGGACCCCTAGGTGCCGAGGGCTCTAAGTGCCGAGGGCTCCTGTTTTCGCCGCTTCCTCTCAGACACTTTGAGGGCTTTGAAGAAGTTGTACTGTTAGCTCATGAGCCTTCGGCCAGGGAGGCGAAGGCACCCCAGTGTTCGTCGTGGGCTGCTTGGCACTTGGGGCGCTGTAATTTGGGCCTGCCATGCTTCCTGGGCCTGTTGGGCTTTTGCTACAGTAGTGGGAGTCTATGGGCCAGGGGTTCCGAGGCCATTTACTCCATCAGGAGTCCCTCACTCCTTTTGTCGAAAGGTACTTGAGGGAAAAGGAGTAATTGCGGTTGTCCTCTGATGTTGTCTTGCATGTAGTTTGTAAACCTGTGAGAGATTTACGTTTGCGCATAATTCTACCGGGGCCAGTCCTTCAGTCCCCCACATTTTGGGACTTGAAGGATTATGTTGCTGCTTTGGGGAGGTTTTTGACATTTTGCATTTTTTTCGAAGGGGTCCTCCAGTCCCACACTCCTTGAGGCACATGTAATGTGGTGAAGAGGAGTAGAATAGTGCCCGCTGTCGCGTAGGGCCGAAGGTTGACACTTTTCGTTTCATTTTGGGGGGATGCCTCGTTAAAAACCTCATTAGGAAAAACCCTGTGGGAAAAAATCCTAACGAGGGAAAAAGAGTGCACCGAATTCCCCCAATGATGACTCGAAAAGGTGAAACCTTGGTCTGGGATGAAGGACAAAGTTTATGCCGAAGGCTACTCTTGATCTGAGGGCGCCTGGTTTTGACTTTACCGAAGGCGCTTTGTAGATGTCCCGGGGGATGCCGAAGGGGAGCCCCTCAATCCATGGGGTTCAGGGCGTGATGAATGTAAGTGGTAGTGTTGTGTTGCCGGGGGGTTCTCTACATGTTGACAAGCTGAGGATGAGGGCACCCGGGGGTCCCGTTGTTGTATGTTGAAGGCTGTCCACCCAAGGGGGGCTTTAAATTTTATGTCCCCGAGGGGTCTCCTTATTGCGTGGCCGGGAATAGTTGGTGAAGGTTCCCGAGGGGTTTACCCGTTGTTAAGCCGTGGGTTCCTGAAGGAGAGAGCCTGAAGGCCCTTGTGATGTTGCATGAGGGGTACCGGCCAGGGGTACCTCTGTGTTTTCAAAATATAGCCGTTGAGATATGACCGTTGGAAGTGGAGTCCACGTGGCGTGTGCTCGTTGGCTACCTGTGGTCGGGCGTCACCGATTTGGCAACTCGACGGTTCGTAATGATGATTTTTCCACCGAGGGCACAATTTCCGGCCCAAGCCCGGATTTGGGTGCCTATAAATACTCCAAGGCCAGGGGCCGTTCTCCTTGTGCGATCATTGTAGCGAAGCTGTGGCAATTTGATTTCTAGAGAGAGAAAATCCCCCTCAGACAAAATCAAAACTCCCCAAGGTTAGTTGTTCCCTTTGTTCTTGAGTTCCTTAGCATTTATTTTGCTATTTCGCCCTTAGGCAAAGTGCTAGAGTTGTTTAGTAAGCCTTCAGTTTTAGAAACCCTTCTGCTTTAGTGTAAGAAATGTCATCCCAAAGTGATTCACAAGACATCTCGAGGGAGCCCTCGATTGATGATGAAGTGGTTTCCGATGTGGAATCCATAAGCGAGCCCTCGGCTGGTGACGATGTTGTTGTGGCTGTGGAGATGCAGAAGGTCCTCGTCACCGAAGCCGAGGCCGAGGACTTCGAGCAGGTGATGGAGGACGAGGAGCTCGCCCTCGCTGTGCAGACTGCTGAGGAGGAAGAGGAGAAGGAGAGAATGAGGGTGACTGTCGCTGTTCTTCCCCCTCGTGATGCCGGTGAAGCCAACACCTCTCGGCCCTTGAACCCGAAACCTCTCCGGGTGCCCCCCCGGAAGAAGAAGGCGAAGGCTGCCGCTCCCAAGAAGAAGGGCAGCGTTGCTGACCAAGGGAAACCCGTCGATATGCCCAAGGGTTATTCCTTCCTTAACACCGCCGCCCTCGAGATAAAGTCGAAGGTTGATGGGGTGGATTACTATGTCACCCAGCTGCACGTTGGGCCCTCGGCTACTCTGGTGCCACCGGGACCTGATGACGTTCTCTCCCGCGCTCCCGAGGGATGTATCGCAGTTCACATCTTGTCAGTGTCCATGGGCCTTCGGTTTCCACTGCACCCGTTCCTTCGGGAATATCTCAGGTATGTGGGCCCGGTCCCTTGTCAACTTACGCCCAACAACCACTCGTATATTATCGGGTTCCTTCACCTGTGCAAATCCCGGGGGTGACGTCTGGCTTAGATCTGTTTTTCCAAAGCTTCAACTTGTGCCGAGGAGATCATGCAAACGTCGAGGGGTTCGCAAACTTGCAGCAGATCACTCAGTTCAGGCTATTCACCGAGGCACCCTCCTCAAACAAAGGTTGGAAGGAGCGGTGGTGCTATGTTAGGTTGAACGAGAACCCTTTCCCTAGGGAATTGCAGGACCGCTTCAGGCGCCATGAGAAGACAAGAAGCGCCGCCCTCGAGAAAGATGGCTTTGTACTCGCCAAGATCCCGGAGGGGCGGAACAAGAACATAACCATCAGAGAATGTAACCTGGAGAGCAATCTTTACGCCCTCGGCTTCCGGCGGTACCGTTTCCTAGGGGAAACAGATGAGAAGTTCCCTATCCTGGACAGCGCCGTCGGAGGAACAGGTGGTAGCTTCCGAAGGCCTCGCGTTTCGTACTTAGGATTTTTTGCTTTATTCCGTTTCTCACGTTTGACCCCTCGACCTTACCTTCCTGTGTTGCCTTGCAGGTATTCTGGTGTCGAAGATGAATGTCAAAGGTTTCATCGGGCTGAAGAAGAAATTGGTCAAAGAGCCAAAGAGGAAGGAGGCGGATCTCCAGAAGACCGCTGGTGAGGCGTTGCCGAGGGGTGCTAGGCCCTCGGGTTTGCCTGCGAATGAGGTCGCCGGTGCTGCCAAGAGGAAAGCAGCCGACAAGGATGCCGCCCCCTTCGACAAGAAGGTGAAGAAGCAAGAGACCAGGACGAAGGCTCCCCCAGTTGTGATAGTCGATGACTAGCCGATTTCTGAGCCCTCGGTTGTGGCGGCCTCAGCTTCTGAGGCTCCGTCGGAAGTCACCCCCTTGGAGGTTATCGACCCAAAGGCGTTCTTGAGGAGCATCGCTGCCGGGATGGACAGGTCAACCCTCGGCGCTTATGACGATGATGCCCTCAAAGACAAGATTCTCCGGTCTTCCTTGACTGTAAGTACTCCTTCCTCTGCCCCCTTCCCTTTTCCCCCAGATTATCTCTGCATGGTCGCTCTAACTGTTTTCTTTGTTGGTTTTCAGGCTTGCATTGCCCTCGGGGAGCTGTCCCGGAGGTTGGAGGAGTGACGCCTTCATAAGGCCGAGCAGGATAAAAAGATGAAGCAGCTGATCCATCAGAACGCTGATGCCGTAAGGCAGATGGCCCAGCTGGAGGAGAGCCTTCGACAAATGAAGCTGCAAGTTGAGGCAGCTAACCAGGGCAAGGCTGAAGCCGAGAGGTCTGCTGCTGAAACCTTCAAGAACGCTGCCGAGGAGGCCGAGGCCGCCAAGGCGGAGGCCATCGCCAAGGCGTGGGAGGATGCCCTCGATGAGTTTCTGGAGGAAGGGTGAAAGGCTGAGGGACGCAAGCAGTGGTTGTCCTCGGTTGTGGAGGCGTCCGTTGAATAATACTATGAGGGCCCCGGTGTGGAGTGGTTGGCCCGAAAGGGCAAAGAATATTATGAAGCGGGCGAGTTTTTTACTCAGGCCCTCATCTACCGGAGGATGGCCCGACACCTGAAGATGGAGCCCAAAGATTTTGACCCGGCAGCATACGGACTTCCTCTTCTGCAGCCTGATGTCCGCGTGCCCCTTCCCCCAGACGTTGAGAGGCCAGATTTGGAGGATTCAGAACTCATGAGGGACGCCGATGGCGAAGAGGAGGCCGGAGGGGAAGTAACATCGAAGCCTGCGGTAGAGGATGCCTCCTAAACTATCGATGTTTAATTGTACTTAAAAATTTTTTGTAACAAGCATTTGTATGCTTCCGGCTTCAGCCATGACTGTAAACAAAATTTTTTTTTATTCCCTGCCGATGGATGAATGCCTGCCTTCGGGCCTTTTATATATAAGTACTCTGATGCCTTCGTTTGTTTTTTGTCTTGTGAAATGAATGCCTTCGTACTCTGATGCTTGAGTTGTCAATTGTTCGGGACATAGAAAAAATTCTCTAAGTGTTGTTTCACTATTGAACCGTCGGTTGTATGGCCCCTTCTGGCTGCATGGATATTTGACCGAGGGCCAAATATTTAAGACTTAGAAATTTTTTCTAAGTGTAGTTCTCCCACCAAGCCTTCGGTCGTGTGGCCCCTATGGCAGCATGGATATTTGACCGAGGGCCAAATATTTAGGACTTAGAAAATTTTTCTAAGTGTAGTTCTTCCACCAAGCCTCCGACTGTGTTGCCCCTCCGGCTGCGTAGAGATTTGACCGAGGGCAAAATACTTAGGACTTAGAAAGTTTTTCTAAGTGTAGTTCTTCCACCAAACCCTCGGTTGGGTGACCCTTTGGCT